TCCTTGAAAGGTGATATTAAGTAATGCTTCACTTGAAATCCATAGATCCCTTAAACTGTTTGCCATGTTTAAGGATCAAAGAGATTTCAGTTCTATTTCTCCAGAAACTATTACTAGAAGTCCTAGATTTAAAAATCCAGAACACAAAAATCACCCCAAAGCAACAAAACAAAATTATTAAATATTTCACTACTTCTATTTAATTTTTGTACCTAAAGAACACATCATGGTCAGGAGCAGTGGCATGTGCCTATAGTCCCAACTATTCCAGAAGCTGAGACAGAAGGATCACTTAAGCCCAGAAGTTCGAGAGCCCTACTTTGATCAGCACAGTGCCTTGTGCGTAGCTAGAGCTCTATGTTGACCACTATTGTTATAACCAACCCCTAAGCACAGTGTCTGGTTCACAGCAAGCGTTAAATAAATAAAGTGAAGAATTATTGTGCAATAATCCTGTACCTTGTCTATCTTTAAGAGTCAAAATTCCGTGCCAAAAAATGATAACTTTGCAGTGGAAAGTCACCATCACCAAAACCAGAAGCATTCTATATCCAAATTATGCCTTTGCAGGAGTGGCAGCCAGGGGCTCCCTAGATCCCTAATTCTTATCTGAGTAAGTTATTTTAATGGGAAAATAAAGATTGTAATACACAATCAGAACAATCTGTAACCACAACCCATTTAAGTAGAGGTCTAGGTCATCTAATTTTGTAAACAAAGATAAATGGAAAATAACTGCATTATCACATTTGCAATTATTTTAATTGTAGCTTTGGCTTGACACCCAGCTCCTGAACCAGACCTATCTCTGTGAAGGCAGTGTACATCTATCTCGTCCATCTTCTAACTCCAGAACCTGGGTTAACACTATTCAGTATAGAATTGGTACTTGATGACTACTTGTTGAAGGAATAAATGTGCTACTTAAAATACAAAATCACATCATGGTTCTAGGTTCAGCAGCTAGACAAAGCTGATCTCCTTTATTCATGTTTTAAACCAATAAACTGTCTTTTCTGTTTTGATTTGGATTACAGAAAGTACCTTTACAGAGCAAAATAGTCCTCACATTCACCAGTAATCATGATCTCTGATGATTCCACCTGTGGATATATGCCTGACACAAGCTCTTGTTAACTCAATACAGGAAATCCATAGAATTGTCCCCAACTCCTTCCAATTAAAAATCAGTTTTAAATTACTTTTTTTTCTGTTTTTCAGATATCTTTCCTTTTTGTACACGAGAGTTTTCAGATATACAGATAAAAGCAGGGAGACCCTTAGAAGTCACCTGATATAGCACCTCCATTTTTCAGATGCCTCCAAAGATAACCACATTTGAAAGGAAGCCATACTGTCTACATCCTTCATAAGCCTACCAAGATATCTTTAAAGACAGAAGTGACAAAATTGAATCTTAATGATATTCAGAAAGGTGAAAAAGGTGCAGTACTTTATAGCATCTGTGCATGCCCAGGGGCCCAGGTAAATACCCCAGTTCCCCCAAGCAAGAAGTAATTCTAAATTCCTTCCTTCATTCAACATTTCTGAGGGCTTTCTGTGTGCCAAACACCATTCTAGGTGCCAGAGATACATCAGTAAACGAAAGATTATTGCCCATGTGGTGGCATCTCCACTTTAGGCACAAGTTAAGAGAAGTCTAAGAAAACAGAGAGAAGGACATCTGTACATTTTAATAGACTGCATGGGGCATAATAATAATAGTAACACTCCATTGCACCTCAGAGATTATGAGGCCAGTGGTTCTCAAACTTGGGTATGCTTCGGAGGACTTGTTAAAACTCCAAATGCTGGGCTCCATCCTCTAACATTAGAGTGAAAGGGTTTGTTCCCTACTTGGAAATATTTTCCAGACATCCAAATGCCATGCTAAAAGAATGTTTTCTTGAAGGGTTTTTAACCATCAGGGTCACGTTTAGTCTCAAAAGAATTCTATTCTTATTTATTTTTTTATGTTTTGGGTTTTTGTTTTTTTTGAGACAGAGTCTCACTCTGTTGCCCTGAGTAGAGTGCAGTGGTGTCATCATGTCATAGCTCACAGCAACCTCAAACTCCTGGGCTCCAGCAATTCTCCTGCCTCAGCCTCCAGAGTAGCTGGGGCTACAGGCATGCGCCACCATGCCCGGCTAATTTTTCAATTTTTTTTTTTTTATAGAGTCAGGATCTCAGTCTTGCTCAGGCTGGTCTACTAACTCCTGACCTCAAGCAATCCTCCCACCTCAGCCTCCCAAAGTGTTAGGATTACAGGTGTGAGCAACTGCACCAGCCTATTTTCTTTTTAAAGTCCATGTGCTAGAAGTATATACAGTACAGCAAAATATAAATAACAGTGATTGAACTAGTAACAATCTTTTTAGTGCTAATTGAATTTTTATAATAAACATAAAATTCTTGTTATAAGGAAACGAAAAGTTTATTTCTTTTAAAAATTATTAAAGTCTTTAAATTAGAAAACTATAGAAATATCATCAGTTTATATACTGCATAAATTAATACTGAATTTTTTCCCCTAGTATATAATTCAAGTAATTTATTTTAGCATTTTAGACTAAACCTGTTTGGATTAAGGATTAATACCGGTGTGAGGGGGAAACCTGATTTTAACAAAGAAAATAATAAAATCAAAGCTATAATCATTTCAATAACTGAATAAAAATCAGATTTGTCATTATTCTACAGGGCAATTGTTTTTGTCTATACTGTTACTTTTCAACAAACGAATGGAAGTGATTCTAATTACTGCAATTAAAGAAATCAAAAATGCCGGGCATGGTGGCTCACGCCTGTAATCCTAGCACTTTGGGAGGCTGAGGCGGGCGGATTGCTCAAGGTCAGGAGTTCGAAACCAGCCTGAGCGAGACCCTGTCTATACCAAAATGAAATAATTAATTGACCAACTAAAATATATATACAAAAAATTAGCTGGGCATGGTGGCGCATGCCTGTAGTCCCAGCTACTCGGGAGGCTGAGGCAGTAGGATCGCTGAGCCCGGAGTTTGAGGTTGCTGTGAGCTAGGCTGACGCCTGGCTCACTCTAGCCTGGGCAACAAAGTGAGACTCTGTCTCAAAAAAAAAAAAAAGAAATCAAAAATGATTTAATTGTATTTCTTAAAAAAAAATTAAAACTTATAAGATTTGGAAAATTACGGCACATGCTCTACGTGTACACAGTCACACACGTAACCCTAGGGATACCAAGGTAAGACACACCACCTCATCTCCATCCACCATCTTTTTTTTTTTTTTTTTTGAGACAGAGTCTTGCTTTGTTGCCCAGGCTAGAGTGAGTGCCGTGGCGTCAGCTCAGCTCACAGCAACCTCAAACTCCTGGGCTCAAGCAATCCTTCCTGCCTCAGCCTCCTGAGTAGCTGGGTCTACAGGCATGCACCACCATGCCCAGTTATTTATAATATATATTAGTTGGCCAATTAATTTCTTTCTCTTTATACTAGAGACGGGGTCTTGCTCTTGCTCAGGCTGGTTTTGAACTCCTGACCTCGAGCAATCCGCCCGCCTCAGCCTCCCAGAGTGCTAGGATTACAGGCGTGAGCCACCTCGCCCGGCTTCCATCCACCATCTTTAAGGATCTTCCAACTAGGAAACAGGCCTTTATTACTGAGTCCATGTTCTAGGGATAGGACTAGAGTTTAAAATATAATCTGCTACAAGACAGTGACTAAAACAAAATCAACTAGATGAGGAAATCAACTGTCTTTATAAAGACAGATTTAGTCTCTTGCCATTCAACAAAAATTCCAGAACACCTCTCCAAGTCTCAACTGTTTAATTAGAACATTCACTTTCACGAAGGAAAAAAAAGTACCAGTATGTATTACATACAAGTTATAGCTAATTTCTCAAACTTAGCCCCTAAAAACAACCATATATTATTCTAATACTAACTAGGTGCCCACAAAGCACCAAGCACTTTACAGGTATCCTCTTATTTAATTTCTAAACCGATTTATGAGGTGAGTACCATTTCACAGATGAAGAAACTTCAGCACAGAGTGCTTAATCTATTCAATAGTCACAAAGGTAAGAAGTTAAAAGATCCAGGATACAAAGATATCCAAGCTATACTTAAATTGAGATGCTTCACCTTTGGCTTGACCATGGTTTTGCTGTTTAAATTACAAATTTTTCACATTTTAGGAAATCTGAACCAAGTTTTCTTGCCAGTAGTACTTGAACTAATATCAATAATATGAAAAAACGGTGAAATAACACAGGCACTTTTAAAATCTTTGTACATGTAAAATCACACTTGCAAAGTTACACTTGTAGCACAGAAAAACATGACAACTTCTCTACCAGCATGGCAACTTCGGGAATACAGTTGTGTTAAAATTATCTACAGAAATCCAGCATGAGGCTGGTCCAAAGGTGGTGAGTTATCTCACTTGATTGTTCACAGTTAGTTACAGATTGAATTCCTTGTTCTACTACTTTCCCCACTTCTCACTACTGCACTTGGCTAGTCTTAAAAACAAAAAAAAAAGAAAAGAAATCCAGCATTAAATCGCACAGATATTCTATTAAGAGGAAGGAGATTCAGATCTCTCGAACTTAAGTATAACTGAAAAAATTAAAAATAAAAAAATAAAAGTAAAAAAAGAAAAAAATAGAGGAAGGAGAAAGAAGGTTTTTATTTGGTTTTGTTTGGGGGCGTTTGGTTTTTTGCTGTTACTGTTTGTTTTTCAGCATCCAGCGAGCTAGGGAGTGAACGAATAGGTTGCAAGACGAAAATCTAATCCTTTCCTACTTCCGCCTACAGAAATAAACGTTGGGTGCAAAGGAAAGCGGCGTCACGGTGCCCAAGAATTCAGTCTCCCGGGCGCGGCCTCTGTGGAGGGCGGGTGCGGACCCGACGCCGCCGCTTCCCGCCGCGGCGAGACCGCCTCGGGGACCCAGTACCAGGGCCCCGGGCGAGGCGGGACGCGGCGGGGAGGACAGGGGGCGACGCGCGGGCCCCTTACCGAGCTCGGTGCCCTGATTGTGCGTGGACATGGCGCGAGCCGCTCCGGAACCGCCTGCTCGTCCGCGCCAGCCTCGCCGCCGCCGCCTTCCGGCTTCCCCGCCGCGGCGCCCGCGCGCTCGCCCCGCCCCTGGCCCGCTCGCCCCGCCCCTGGCCCGCTCGCCCCGCCCCTGGCCCGCTCCCGGGGCGGAGCCGCCGACCCGGGCAGCGCAGTGGGGACCCAGGTCTGCTGCTTCACGAGGAAGTCCTGCCGCCCCTCCCCCTCACCCTCCCCACGAGGTGCGGAACTGGAGCGCTAACTAGCTCCCCGAAAATAATGCTCCCGTTTGAAAATGCTCACGTTGCCGACTGCACCGGATAAAAGTTGCATTCTTCGCAACTTTTAACTGTAAGATTACATAACAAGAGGCTCCTGGAGAGGATCCCTCCCACTTAAGTCCAAGGGCAGAGCTCTGCAGTCTCAGACCTGAAATGTCAGCATTGATCCTTTATCGTTGTTAAGGGCAACCAGTGAGCATAAATCAAGGACCCCAGTGTGTACTAGGACTTCAGACTTCGACGAGAAGCAGCTGTGTGGCCGGAAAAGCGGAACGGCTCAGGAGTGAGAAGACCTGGTTTCTCGGCCTATCTCTGGCAGTAATTAAATGTGTGACACTAGACAAATCAACTGCCTTTCTAAGTTTCGTCTTCCCCATCTGTAAGAGATGGCCATGACAATTCTTGGTCTCTAAAATTCTGTGATTCTGTGATATTAAGATTCCCTTCGGCCTGACTTTTGTGTGACCAACAGGTTCATTCCACAGCCTCAATATTGTCAACACATCTGTACTCACAATGAAAGGCACCTGTGAAGGGAAGCAAACTTAGTTATGGCTTATCTACCATGAACCAACTATTGTCCTCAGTGCTAAGATGTATGATAGCATTTGAGTTTCAGAACAATCCCGCCAAGTGTGTATCTCCATTGCTATACCTACAGACACCAAAGTTCTGAATGGACAAGTGTGAACAAATGTGAACCTGAAAGAGCCAATCCTTCAAGATGGATCCCAAGTGGCTAACTGGACCTAGATTTAAAATACAGCAAGCAGCCACTTGCTGACTAGAAGGAACACATGTACTCCGACTCCCCTTAAAAACTCACACCTCTCTTCAATTTTGTGACTCTAGAGTTCCCCTGACTGGGTCAATCAGGGATCAACTGTATCAACCAATCAGAACTCGCTGAAGTCATTCATTTGCATAGACAGACCTGCTTGGGGACCTGGCAGGAACATTTGCCTTAAAATGTGAGGCCTCCTTTTGTTCTCTGGAATGTATCTTCCTTCGTTTTATACACCAAAGGCTAACATTTCCCACTGTGCAAACTGTTCACTGGAATAAAGTCTTTTTCCTACAATTCCTTTTCAGAGAACTTTGTTCACAGAGACATCCAGGTATCGTCGAAATAGAGTGGGTTCCAAATGGCAAATCCCATTAATATACCAGCTCTTCCATTTAATACTGTAACTTGTTGGTTCTAGAAATGTTACTTACTGACTATATATCTGTAAAATGTGGATGATCAAAATACACCTTGCAAAGTTGAGTGTAAAGTACCTTGTACGTAACATGGCACATAGATGCTCAATAAATGGAAACTGATGTTATTGTCAGAACCACACAGTAATTATAGAGCTAACAATTCAATGGCAACAGTAATTCTTGTCTTATTCTTCTATACTGAGCTGACTTTCAGCCTTGTCTACACACAGCTGCTGTTGAATGTTTTGGATCTGTCTACACGCTATTCATACATATAATAGAATTTATCTTTATTTTTATTTTAACCCTAAGAAAGAGAAAAGCAGGCCCTCAAAGCACTGGCCTGAAACTTATAACTAGCCTGTGGTATTTCCTGGTTGAACATAAACAATTTCACAGAACACCACCATCAGCCAAAGTCATTGTGACCATAATGAATAAATAAAAATGAGACTACTCATAATCACATCTGATGATAGAAAAACCATGAATATTGTCCAAACAGCCATTGATCCTGGCTAATATGTAACTGTCATTTCGTTACTCATTAGCTCTAGCCTCACTCCATTCTTCTTGTGTTTTAGGTAAGAATTAAGATACTGAATTGTAGAATTATCACCACTTCCTGCCAGCATCCAATCCAGAGCAAGGCCTCACTTCCTTGAACCCTCCCCAAATCACCTACCACAAGCCCAAATTCTGTGTCTTTTCTAACACCCTGTTATTGAGACACTTCACAATTCCCCATGGTTAGCATTATCCTTTGTCACAAGTCAATAAGCCCAATTTTGTCCAACTACAAGTATATTTCTGGTGGTCTTTGGCTGGAGAGCACTGATATCCCTAAAAGATACAAAAGTGATAAATTAAATTATATTTTTAGGTGTAGATACAACTCCAAGCCAGATTCCCTGCCACTCATTATGTAAATTTATTAAAACAAAAAAGCTGTGATATCCTTAGCTGAAAAAACAAAAATCAAGGCAGTCTCCTAAAGCAAACAGGTTAGCAATATATCTGACAAGAATTTCTCAAGAACTTTTTCTAAAATTGACCTGTTGCACAGTACTAGTCTGGACTTAATCTATGCAGTTTAAAAGTATGTTAAATTGGCAGCATTCATAGAGACAACGGGGATAGTATGCAAAAAATGAGTTTCTTTAATGAACAAAGTTCCCAAGTTTCACTTCATGAAGGTCTCTTTTCAATTTATTTTCTTCTGAAACTTCAGAAGTATCCCCAAGGCAAGGTCTCTCAGAGATCTAAAGACTACATTGGAATCACCTAATAAATAGTTCTTTTCTAAAGCTGATTCTAGACTGCACCACAGCCCTATAGAATCAGAATCTCCAGGACCCTCAAATCTGTATTTTTAACAAATTCCTTCAAATGAATTTGAAAAAACTAAATGTAAAGAACCACCAACCCAGAGGCAGAGGAGAGTAACTAAGCAGGCTAATCTGGAGCCATAGCCCAAAAGTGGCTCTTACAAGAGTAAAATTTCTTTAAAGTATTATTATATTTCCATCCATGTAAACTAGGCATGCCATTCCTGTTTATGGACGTTTAATACAAATTTTAAATTGTCAAACAAATTTGTTGTCTTCCCAACCCCCTCCCTCCTTGTTCAATTAAAATTAAAGCTTTAGGAATGTATATTTGCCTTGAAGCTTCTAAGAAACTACCTGTCCTGGGAAACAGAAGTAATACAAATTTTAAGTTCCAAAAGGCATGGACCATTTCTTGGGTTTGCATAGGGTTTCAGTAGAGTACTTGGCACATGGTAGGCTAAGAATATTTGTTAGATGAATGAATGTATATTGTTGTCTTTGCTACTTTTCTTATAGTGCCTATTGTTTTATCCAGTTCAATTTCATTTGAATGTAGTCTATAATCCTATGATTTCTAAGAGCCATTATTCACAGATCCATTAGGTAAATAATCACTGAAACTATGGATTGTCAGACAGTATTTCCAGGTTAGACAGGGACAAGTATAGAAGCAGGGAAGACTAGCGAAGAGCGTGAATATTAGAATCAAAATATTCCAGAACTGGAGGGAGACTTACAGAATAGCTAATTCCTAGTTCACAGTAAAATAAATAAGAATTACAGAGTCTTTTATAAAGCTAAATTTATTCAATTTAAAGAACAGTCCCTCATTCTGAGACTATATTGTTCACTACCAACTTGAATTTTAACATGTCCTTTCCTTTATGAAGATTGTGGTGGTAGATAATTTTTTTAATAGCCTTACTTGGCAAGACAAAAAGTAGACCATTCTATTTTGCCCACCCCCACTTTTTTAAGTCTGTTGGCCACGAAACTCTAAAGGTGAGAATCACTGATAGACTATATGTTACTAATATTAAATACTTCCTATGAATTACAGCCCTTACACCCCTTACATTATTTGATATTTTTTTTAAATCTATTAATATTTGAGATATTTCCCCCCCCCAAAAATTTATGTGTAAAAACTATTTCCTCCCTGTACAGATAAAGAAATTGAAGCTCAGAGGCCTAGACAGTGTGGCTCATGCCTATAATCCTACCACTTTGGGAGGCTGAGGCTGGAGGACTGCTTGAGCCTAACAACATAGTGATACCCCCATCTCTATAAAAAAAAAAAAAAAGAAAAGAAAAAAACCAAGGCTGTGAGAGATTAGTCTAAAAGAGCTATAGGATTGCTTAAAACCCAAGCAATATAGCCATATAGACCACACATTTACTGTTCCCTACTGTCTCTTGGAAACAAATTTATTAGACAAGCCACTTAACCTCACTGAAATTCAGGTTTCCCATATATAAAATGGTATACTACCTCATTGAGTTATTGGTAGAGATTAAAAAGTAACACATTTTAACATAAACATCTAACATATGGCACTAAATAAATACTATTTCCATACTCATCCTTAAACTAAAATCAGTTATTTTCCACTTGACCAATTTCCACTCACATTAAAGTGACTCAACCTATAAAGTATTAATACTGTTCATTAGCTATCATATAGATGCACTTAGGCCCTTTTTCCATAGGCAAATTTGTTAGATACCTCATTTCTCCAGGAACTATACTGATCTAAAGTCAAACACTGGTCTAGGTGACACAACATCACACTCGCAATTGTGCATTTCTATAGATAAGCAAGATAAACAAAGAAAAACTAAGCCTCCTCCTGGGATTGTGATTCCTGTAAATTTTTTTTTTCAGGTATACCCCCAGTGTAAGAGAAACCAGAAATGTGGTTTTATAGAAGCAAAAATAAAATGTATCAAATACAAGAAAGCAGACAATTATTGAATGCTGCTGAACATTTAGTAAGATAAGGACAGAAAAGTGACCACTGGATTAGAAAAATGCAGGACATTAAAGACTGGCAAGCACAATTTCAGTAGATACTTGAAATTTTTGTGAAATTCTACTCCAGGAGTATACCATTACAAAGTGTGGTAGGCAGACTAAAGGTCCCCCAAGATGTTGTCTATATCCTAATACCCAGAACCCATGAAAGTTACCCTATATGGCAAAAGGGACTCTGAAGATGTGATTAAATTAAGGATCTTGAACTGG